GTTATTGTCATTGTTGTTATTATTGTTATTACTATTATTATTGTTGTTATTGTACTATTATCGTTTCTAATTTCTACAATTAACCTCCCTGTGGTTCGACCCCGGTCTTACCGGGTTATTTATTATTTCGACACTCCCACACTTGGAAGAAGACATCAATTTTTTAGTCGTGTCAGCTGCACCCGAGAGAAAGGAGACCAATGTCAGGTGGTGTTGTGCTAAGGGCTTGAGGTGGTGTTGCCTAAGTACTACGTGGCACTTGGTCTACTAGCGGCTAGGGCTCAATTCTATTTTGGGTAATGCTTATGAGTACCTAAGCCAAAGCGTCACTTGACGCTTAGATTACAGTCAAGAAAAAATAGCCTAAATGTCACGTGGTGTTTGAGCTATCTGTTTTCAGGAGGGAATTCATCAACAGTGCAATGCACATTGAAAGCTCTTACAATCCACAGTGAGCAGCACTGTGCGAACAGTAGGCCGCGCTATAATAAAACACTGATTACTTTTAGTCATAGTTGATGGGCTCATATAACTAGTATTGAATTTTATTTTTGTAAATAAAAATCAATTATATATTTCTAAGATAATATAAAAATATGAATAAGATCAAAAAATAAAAAATAAGTACAATTATATAAAATTCTTATAGTAGGATTTCGAGGGAAAAGACAAGACAATATGGCAGAAAGTAGCAAATGTTTTTAATGCAACTTTTCTCCTATAATTTCAACAATAATATCTCATACTAGAAAGGTTAGTTAATTTTTTTTTCGACAACAACAAACCTAAAGTTATAGGAAGGAGAGCACAAAAGTAAATAAGATAGAGAGCATACATTTTTTATTTATTTTCTTTTTTTTTTCACTCCCACTTCTACTTTAAAGAATGAATTCCCTCCACCTCTTATTTTGTAGGGGAGGTTAGGGATGTGGAATCAATTAGAATTAACTTCTGATGATTCATTAAGTTAACCAAAGAATATGAAAAGATTTAATGGAGTTGAAATAATTCAAGACTAACATTAAGAAGTAATTCTTAACAATTCAATGAATTTTGAGGTTGATAAAATCCTTGTGAATAATTGGTCATCATATACTTCTTTATACATAAAAAATATTATTTTTTAGCATAAACATGTCTCATAATAACTCACCACTACTCTGAATTATTGTTTAGGTTGACATCCGAGACAACTTCAAATACACTTCTCTCCAATACCTCATTTGCGATGTTCTCAAACCAAGTGGAATAGGCTTATAAATCCCTTCCTCTCTCGGAACTACCTCGTTCAAATCTAAATCTATTCTTCAATCTTTGGTTTAACGTCCAATTTCTTGTTATAAATAAGGAATTTGACAATTTTTATTGTGCGACTTTATCACTTTTTCAACCATATTGTCCCTATAATCCGTTAAAAAATAATTTGATCCTTATTTTGGACAACTTATTATTATTTTCTATCCTTAACATTAAAATAAAAATTTCAACTCCTATATTCTTTTGTTTATATTTAAGTTAATTCTTGAAGTCTTTCCAAGATGATAAAAAATTCCTAATAATAATAGCCATTTGAAAAAATTTATCTCTAACTATTTTTTCAGCATGAATATTATAAAAAATGAGTATAAACTCTCACACTCATATTATTATAATCCTTGAATTGATCATCTCTAAATCAAGGAATTCATCAACTATGGTTTTTTTTCATAGTGACATTTTTAGCCTTATAGTTCCAATCTAAAACTTCCCATAATACATTTTTATTGCTAATATAACTATATATATCATAGAATGTATTATCTAATCCATTCAAGATGTAAATTTTAAACACAAAATTAGTATGCATCCAAAGCTTTTACATTCAAGGTGGTCAAGTAACATATTTTATTTTCACCTTTTAAAGGTCAAACCATTGAACTTTTTAAAGTTCTCACCATATACTACAGAAAGTGATAAAAGAATTCTCCCTACGCATATTTTATTTTCACTTTTTAAAGTTCTCACCATACACTACAGAAAGTGATAAAAGAATTCTCCCTACTTAAATCATGCTTGTCATAGTAATATTCACTGAAGCAAAATAAAATTCTCTTAAGTAGAGTTCATATTTTTCTACTATAATAGTAAATTTTGATGATGTTAATAAATCAAATTATTTGATTAACAAAGCTTTATGCAAGAAAAAAAACTAGACAATTAAGATAAAAAGGATTTAGCTTTAAGATTGTTAAGAATTGTTCTGTAAAAATTAATTACATATTTGCAGGATAATATAAAAATATAATAAAATAAGATAAGTACAAATATATAAAGCACTTGCTTATGTGATACGCTCCTTCAGATTTCCAATATACTTAATGATTTTGTCGCAATGATACAATTACATGTTCACTTTTATATTTTTGTATAAAAACAAGCACTACTAAATATATAATATGACAACTTCAATTCTCTAAAGAGATAAGATATAATTACACAAAAGCGAGTAACACTCTCACTTTTATACTTAAAAGAAGTTACACATATATTTCTTATATGAGATGTTCTAAATAATCTAGTTTTCATTGATCTCCATCTAAAACTCACTTATGAACCAAGAAGGACCTAGACATGAGATAAGCTTTATAACTCCGCTAGTTCACAAGCAAGAATACATCTATAACCAAGAAAAAGAATCTCTACTTTGTCATAGAAAATTGCACACTTAACTCTTTATAGACCATGTATCTACAAAGGTTAACCTAGATAATTATAAAGGATTCATAAATCCCTGAGAACACGCAAAATATAAAAAATATTGTAGCACTTATACACAAGACAATGATGCTATGTGTAAAGTTTTTCCAATAACACTTCATGAATCCACATGAGTATGATACAATAGTCTTTGTGATCTCAGCTTTAAACTTTTTTCTCTCTTTACACCCAACCATTCCAGCAAAAAAAAAGCACAAAAAGTTCTTCATCATCTCACTACTGAAGATGAGAACAGTATGATCTATCTCAAATGTTCAACAAAGAGATGCTCGATATGGAAAAACTCCTTGAGTTTATTACCATAAAAGTTTTGATTAATGAAGTCTACAACTATTCCTTCCGGTAAAAGTTGTATAATCTTTTTGATTGAAATTTCCTCATTATAAAAAAATTATAGAAAATTACATTAAGATGAAAAGGCCAGTATAACTAGACAAAAACACCTTTATTTTTATGCATGAGTAGAGTCCCCATTACATAACCAATCTTCCACGAAAGCATCCAAAACAAGCACCAAGAGGCATATCCATGATCACCTAATATTTTTGAGCTCATGACTATATTTTTGATCATCACACATATTAAAGTTTATCAAATAAAAAGAATTAATGTGAAATCCATCTCCTATGAAAAGTGGTATAAATCAACCAACCTAATATTGAGTGATAAAATTGAATAATTTAATATAAAATAAATAAAATAAATTATGAAATCTAATTTTCAATTAACCCAATATTAAATGATGAATTAAAAAAAAGTTAAATAAGAAAAAAAAACCTAGGCTACTAGATTAATCTTTAAACTCGTGATTTGTGTTAGAACACTAAAGAAACCTAATAAAAAATAAATTTAATATTAAAAAATAAAATAAAAAAATATTTTTTAAAGTGAGAGTAAAACATGCGAAATACGCGACATGTTTTAATGTATTATTTAGTCATTTAGCTAGGTGAATATTTTATTCGCATAAAGCTGGATTATGTGATAGATGCAAACGTGCATGTGGGTGCACATGTGTGATCTCGCATCCGTCATCATGACGCCCTCATCATACGTCGATCTGTCCCCACTCTCATTTCCGTTGCGTTAATTATTACTTCAGTCCGTATTTAACAAACTCATTTAGTAATCCTTACATCTTTCATCTCCATATGTTCTATTTATAGCTTATTTCTTTTGTCAACTTAATGTTCCTTTTAATTATTTTTTTCTTTGAAAAATAGAAAATCAATTGGAGGACTGTTACTTCTGGTCAATGGTAATTTAGGAACTAAGTTATAATTAACTCCAGTTTTTTTTAATCTTCATATTATATTTACAAAAGTTAGTGTAAATGGTCAGTGTGAACCATGAAGCAAGAACGAGACCGCCGAGAATATCCAATCCTCCTTCCGCGTAGCTGCTGGGCACTGAAACAGTGTAATAAATAAATTGGTAAAAGTCGAGAGTGAGAGTAGTGATTGACGACTCCGTCTGCGTGTGTTTGAAATGGTCAGCAATTGAATCTTTCTCTCACACTCTCCTTTCGATCAACCTACATCAAGACAGAAAGCGGGCCCACTGCTTTGTGAATGAAAAAACAGATTCTCTTCCTTCCCCTTTCCCAACCTTAAATCTCCCTCTTCCTCACAGCTTCTTGATCAGCAACAAAAATCTTTACCTTTCTTACATATAGATAGCTTTATCATCTCTCTCTTTACATTTATATCTCACTCATCCACGCCCCCAGTCTGTCGTTTCTGGTCATTTTCTAACCCCACATTTTGTTCGTTTTCTCTGTTATAGCAAGTGATCTCACAAAACCCTGTTGCTATTTCGGCTCGTTTAATTTGAGCTCTATTTAAAACTAGACAAAGAGTTCTCTTTCTTAATATGTTTGTTGCTTTTGATTCTTCAATCCAAAGCCTTACCATAGCCTTTTTGTATACCTCCTTTGCTCACATAGCCAGGATCTCATTCTAGCTATACTTGAGAGCGCAAAGCTCAGTTCTGTTGATGGAATAAACTTCCTCCGTCTTATTACTTTGCACCTCAATTGGACCCAAATCCATTCACAACTTAAATCTTGAAAAGCACAGTTGTACTGCCCTTACTGCATTTTCTGAATGGGAAAGTCCATGGAGTGGGAGCAAAAGACTCTAGTTAGTGAGCTAGCTCAAGGGAAAGAGCTAGCAAAACAGCTTAGGAACCATCTTAACCCTTCCTCATCCCTTGAAGCACGTCAATTCCTGGTTGAGAAGATACTTTTTTCTTACGAGAAAGCACTTTCAGTGCTAAATCGCGGTGCTTTAGTTGCTGATCAACCAAAGCCCACAATTGGCATAATGGAAGCACCGCATTCATTTTCCAACAGTACTAGTCCTTGGAGTGAAGTCTCTGATCAAGATTGCAAGAAGGAATGGAACAAAGATGTTAACAAGAAGAGGTAATAAACCTTTCTTATCTTTTTTGTTTATGTTTACTAACTAGGTTTGCGTTTTAGGTGAACTGTGAATGATTATGATCTAACTTCGAATTGTGAATTGTGTGCCGCTGTAGAAAGACACAATCTCGACGGACCGAGCAAGTGAAGGTTTGTCCAGGGACTGGCCTAGAAGGACCACTTGATGACGGTCACAGCTGGAGGAAATACGGACAAAAAGATATTCTCGGAGCTAATTTTCCAAGGTGAGAGTCCGAGACATGTTTTTTCGCTTTCTAAATCATGTTATCTCCACGTAAAAAACGGGGAGAAGAAAAACTTCGTCGCTTATCCAAATTGTACGACATCTTCTTGAAAAATGTCATAATTGCTCGGCACTGGACCTTACCTGCCTGGTGAGATCCAATTTAAAGTGTTAGACCGTGTCCTGACTGCTCTCGTCATTAAAGTCGCTAGGAAAAGACGCCATACACAATCTAATAGCCATTAAAACTGTTTTATTTTTTTATTCAAATGCAGTAGCTACAAATTGAGATTACCATCATCATTAATGAATATTTAATAACCTGATTTTTTTTTCTCTTTTATCCAAGTTTTGTTTACTCAATCAAGCAATTCAAATAATTTGAAACCTTGTGCGCCATTTTTTTTTACCGAAAACTCTAAAAAGTTTCCAATTAATTAGCTAAAATTAAGCTTAAGGGAAGTTTTTACTAGCCAAAATAAGTTTAAGAGAAATATTACAATTTAAAATTCATAAATAATAAAAAATGTAATTGGTGTAATTAATTGTTACCTGAAATTTTTAAAAATTTGTCACTTTAATTTCTTATACTATTTCAGGTGATTTAGATTTTTTTAAAATTTCTTTTAATAGTGATCAACCTTGGCTCGTATAGTCATCATTATTGTATCAAACCTCACTGCGGCATTCTAAACCTTCCCTTCCCAGTTAAAAATTGTCTGACTAAGCCGCTTTGATGTCGATAACCATTGAGCATGTTTTAATCATCTTATTAATCCATTTGATTTGGTTTTTTTAGAATCATTTTAACATTAATTGGTGTTGCAAATCGCAGAGGATACTACAGATGCACTCACCGTCATTCACAAGGTTGTCTGGCCACGAAGCAAGTGCAAAGATCTGATGAGAACCATTCAGTTTTTGAAGTGACCTATCGAGGGAGGCATACATGTAACCAAGTCTCTACTCCACCCGTGGCATCACCTTCTCTGGAAAATGGTTTCTCGAAACGAAGTAAATATCATTGTCAGCAGCAGCATGAAGAGAAACCAAAGCCATCGAAGGAGATATCTCGTTACTTTGGATTAGACTGTAATCAAGTTAAAAACGAGGACTTGGGCTCCAAGGACGGCATTTTCCCATTCTTTTCCTTCCCATGTACGTCATCTGGGAATGAAAACGAGGAAAACAATATTTTCACAGAGTCCATGATTGAAAACAGCTTCTTTGGTAGCTTTTCTCCAACATTCATATCTCCTACAACATCCGAATCCAACTATTTCTCAGTGTCACCATGTCATATGAACAGCTTTGGAATAGGTTCCCAAAATGTGCAAACCCAAGGGTGTGAACTCACCACCGAGAAAATCTCAGCCCCGACTTCGGTCACCAATTCGCCAATCAGAGATTTGGATATCTCTATCGATTATGTAGATTTTGACACCACTTTCCCATTTGACAATCCGGAATTCTTTGCTTAATAGAGTTAGGGTGCGCGTTCATTATTCCTGCCTCGTCATTATTGGAAGAGAGATGGTGTGTTCAAAGTCTCCTATGGTGCTGGCCGAGATAATTTTCCCCTTTGATCCGGTAGTGAATTTTTTTTTTTTTTAATAATGTAACCTTTTAGCTCAGTTTTTTTCAAGATTGCTGGAGTGCCTAGTGCTATATATAGCAATACCAACCGGTAAAATGTGCTCAATTACCTATAATCTGAACCGCGCGTGTGAAGAAACACTATACAATTCCACATGTTTTTATATATATGAGAGATGGCATGTGTGTATGCTGCAACGGATTTATATAATAAATATATTTGGTGGTATTATAATTATAAATGAGTATAGAATAAGTAATAGAAATTAAAAATATGATAGAATTAATATTTTATGACGGATAAAAAATTATGTTAATGATCAATTCCACATGTTTTTAAATATACGAGAGATGGCATGTGTGTATGCTGTAACGGATTTATATAATAAATATATTTGGTAGTATTATAATTATAAATGAGTATAGAATAAGTAATAGAAATTAAAAATATGATAGAATTAATATTTTATGACGGATAAAAAATTATGTTAATGATGAAAAATTTAGAAACTGAATAAAATAATTTGTAACAATTTACAGTATTTTGTGAGAAAAAATATAGTATTTTCGCCTTATAATTTAGCTTTTCTGTTAATAAAAATAAAAATAATCACAAATTTAAATTCTCTAAAAATTTAATATTAAAAAAAATCAATAAAGATAATTTTGAAAGGAAAAAAACTAATGAGGAAAAACGTTATAACAATTTATAATGTTTTATGAGGAAAATTACAATACTTTTCCTATATGATTTAGTTTTATTGTAATTATAATTCTTAACCAACTCAATATTCAAAAAAATAAAAATCAGGAAAAGAAAAAGAAAAAGAATCATGTTAGAAACACTAGCAATCTACAGTATCTTGTGATGAAAGTTCCTTCGCTTCTCCACATGATTTAGCCTTATTTGTAATGATTTATAATTGTAATTCTTAATCAGTTTATTATTATAAAAATAAAATTGACAAAGATAATTTAAAAAAATCATATGAAAAAAACCATATGAAGAGATACTGTAGCAATCCATAGTGTTTTGCGAGGAAAGCTATAGTGTTTTCTCCACATGATTAAGTTTTATTATAAAGTTAAATTCTAATCAGCTTAATATTAAAAAAAATAAAATTGATAAAGATAACTTTGGAAAAAAAATATTACAAAAAAAAGAAAACACAAAAAAACTAGAAAAAAAACCATGTGAGGAAAGTTACATTGTTTTTCCCATATGATTTAGTCTTATTTGTATTTGTTTGTAATTTAATTCTTCACTAGCCTAATATTTTAAAAAATAAAATTGTCAAAGATAATTTTAGAAAAAAAACATAAAAAACAAAAAAACCACGTGGAAAAAAATATTGTAATAATTCACAGTAATTTGCGAGCAAGCTACAGTAACTACTGTACATATTGTAACTGTAATTCTTAATCAGCTTAATATTAAAAAAATAAATAAAAAAGATAATTTTAGAAAAAATTATAAAAAACAAAAAAAAAACCATGTGGAAAAACACTATAGCAATCAACAATGTTTGAAAGAAAAAATTACAAAACTAATTTCTCAATCAATCAATATTTAAAAAATAAAATTAACAAATAAAATTTTGAAAAATAAAAAAATCAAATAGAAAAATCATGTGGAAAAACACCATAGCAATCCACAGTATTTTGAAGAAAAAAGATTAAATTTTTTTTTTTTAACTAGCTCAATATTAAAAAAGTACAATTAACATATATAATTTAGAAATAAAAAGAAAACAAAGGGAAAATATTGTAGGAAAAACAATAAAGAGAAAGTAATACATTATGACAGGAAACAAATAATACTATATATATATATATATATACATATCATGTAACTATATTATTCACCTCTTTATATTTTAATATGAACACATTATTTACTATTTTTTTGCTATAAATTTAAGGGGAAAATGTGTAGATGAACGCTACTTAACCGCACTATTCACACTATAATGTTTGGTTGTAGATGATTTTGTTTATTTTTTTTAGATTTGTTATAAATTTAAAAGGAAAAATATTAACCCAATTAAGTTTATGGTTCGAATTCACCCTAAATAAACTAAAGCATATAGGGTGAATACTATACATATGCACTATTCACCCCCTTACGTTTTATTGTGGATGACACTGGTCATTGCTTCCTTTTTTTTTCAAATTTTGTTATAAATTTAAGGGGAAAATATATGAGGTAAACATTGTGTAACTATATTTACCCCTTTATGTTTTATCGTAAACGATATTGTTTACTTTTTTTAGGTTTGCTATAAATTTAAGAGGAAAAAATATTAACCCTAGTTGAGTTCAAGGCTCGAGTTCACTTCACAAGTTTTAATGTGGACGATACTATTCACTTTTTTATTTAAATTTTTTTTTCTATTTTTTAAATTAATCTTAATCTTATTTTTATTTTTATTTAGATTAATATCTATTTTCTCTTTTATGTTATTTAGAAAGCCTATTTGAAATGAAAACTATTTTTCAATTATGTATTTAATTTTTGAAGAGGTTTTTCTAATATATATATATATATATATATATATATATGAATCTTTTGTATAAATGAACTTTATTTTTGAAAATAAAAAAAATTATTTTCAATAATATTTATAATATGTGCAGCCTTACACATTATTGTTTTTCTATTTTATTCAATCAATTTAATGTTTGTCTTTTTTATTATTGTTTGATTAATAAAAAAATATTTTTATTAATAAATTTAGCAAATACAACTATGTAAATGTCATATCTTACAAAATTAAATATTTTAATTTACACTTGTCTCTCAATTTTTTTCATTATTTATGTTTTTCTTTTCTCAATTGTTAACGTACATAGTTCTCAATTTACTTGATTATATGTTTGTATAATATTTTTTTTCACTCATATTTTTTTAAAATACAAAAACATGTTGAAAAAGTTTATATATAAATTTTTTTGTTGAAAAAAAATCTAAGCCAAGACTTTTTTTTTCAAATTTTGTTATAAATTTAAGGGGAAAATATATGAGGTAAACATTGTGTAACTATATTTACCCCTTTATGTTTTATCGTAAACGATATTGTTTACTTTTTTTAGGTTTGCTATAAATTTAAGAGGAAAAAATATTAACCCTGGTTGAGTTCAAGGCTCGAGTTCACTTCACAAGTTTTAATGTGGACGATACTATTCACTTTTTTATTTAAATTTTTTTTTCTATTTTTTAAATTAATCTTAATCTTATTTTTATTTTTATTTAGATTAATATCTATTTTCTCTTTTATGTTATTTAGAAAGCCTATTTGAAATGAAAACTATTTTTCAATTATGTATTTAATTTTTGAAGAGGTTTTTCTAATATATATATATATATATATATATATATATGAATCTTTTGTATAAATGAACTTTATTTTTGAAAATAAAAAAAATTATTTTCAATAATATTTATAATATGTGCAGCCTTACACATTATTGTTTTTCTATTTTATTCAATCAATTTAATGTTTGTCTTTTTTATTATTGTTTGATTAATAAAAAAATATTTTTATTAATAAATTTAGCAAATACAACTATGTAAATGTCATATCTTACAAAATTAAATATTTTAATTTACACTTGTCTCTCAATTTTTTTCATTATTTATGTTTTTCTTTTCTCAATTGTTAACGTACATAGTTCTCAATTTACTTGATTATATGTTTGTATAATATTTTTTTTCACTCATATTTTTTTAAAATACAAAAACATGTTGAAAAAGTTTATATATAAATTTTTTTGTTGAAAAAAAATCTAAGCCAAGATCAAGGTGGGTAAAATTTCTAGTCCCAATTTATAGGGTGTTGTTGATACATGTTGAGGTAACAAAATAGATAGAATTAAGAATTCTCACTTTTTTTTAATCTATAACTAGAAAATATTGGAAAATTTGTTAAAATATTGTTAATGAACATATCTGAGGCTAAATTAAAAGTGAAATCCATTAACATTTTGGGTTAAAATTTTGTTTGAATTTAATTTTTAGTATAAAATTTTTAACATGAAATACTAACATGATTTAAACAAATTATAGATAAATAAAAAATTGATTTCAAAGAACTCTTGATTGATATGTTTTTTAATGTAACTCAAAACACTCTAAATTAATTATATCTTACACCAGTAATAAACACAAGTTCCTTAATGTTTATAAATTGAAATGTTAGAAAGTTAAAATTGAATTCAAATAACAAAGTGAGTTTTGAATTTAAATACAAACAAAGGCGTGTTGGCCCGACCCAATTGTAAAATAATATTTTAGATAAAAAAGTATATTTTTTTGTTAGTTGAGATTTGGATTTGGGCATGATTTATGAAAAAAATATTTTTTCAACTCATTGTTGAGAGTCTCTTCCAAAAACATGTTATGTATATTTAAATAGTTTTTTGAGTTCAAAATTTTAGATTTATGGCCACCATGATCAAATTTAATTTTTTATTTACAATGAACAATTTAAAGTTGACAATGACGGGAGTTATTATGATTATTATCAAAATTAATTTTTTAACATTTTAATTTTTAAAAGTCATAAAAAAAGGAGGTTAAAGAAAAGTTTTTAATAAATTTTTTCCAGATTTTTACACACTCTTCCTTACCTTATTTTTAATATTTTGTTTTTTTTATGCTTTGGTTTTTATTTCAAATTTGGAGCTTAACTTAACTCTAGTAGGTGATAATTTAGTCCTTTTATTTTGATTCAAAAATCTTATTTAAAAATATATCTAAATTAAGTATTGTTATTGGAATTTTAAAAGGCATATTGCTTAAAAACAATAAAATTTTAAGAATAAATAAATTATCCTCAACAACAATGTAAATTTAGTTATTTTAAAGTAATTTAATAAATAATTTTTTTATTTTTTTTTATTATTAATATGCATACTAAAAACTTGAATTGACATCAATTGCTTTACCTCGACGAGAAATATTAGTTTGTACTTTGTAGTTGGCTTCGGCCAGCCCAGACCCGGTTCATCACCC